GGCACAGCTGAAGGTGTGTGTAGGTAGATGTAGATACACACACACATATGGCTGAGTCCCAGTATTTGTGTAGTTACATTCCATAAAGTCTCTGTGAGCACTAAGTGAGTAAACACTGGACTTACTATTCTGGGGGGGAAATACAGGGTTAGATTCCTGTGAGCCTCTGGTCAGAAATTGTTATCAATATATCAATACATACCTTGTTTTATGTATTTCTGTTTAAAGAGAACTTATTTAAATAAATATTTTTGACTCAATATCACTGAACTCTGTGCCAACCCTATAACTCATGCTCGAATGAAGTTTACCTAACGGACATATTTTCTCTGTAAGGCACACTGGAGCCTTCCTGTGCTTAGAAACACGAGATAACACTTCAACACTGCACTAAGGAGCTATTTTAAACAGCGAAATCACCAAGAGAAAGTGCACAGACGTGAAAAATGTGACACCCAATGGACCATGAAAAGGACACTTGTTTACAGAATGAGCTGAAACTAGAAGGCTTGTTCTACCTCAGCTGGAAACATGCATGTCCGGTGATTCAACTTTATACCTGCTGCATGCATGTCTGTGAATGACCATGAAAGTGACATGAGTATTGATTTTAGGGTTACAAACTTTAGTGAGTAGGCAAATTTGCAAATAGAAACTCCATGATTGATAAGGATTAACTGTATATGTATTTGTATGTGCACATGTATATACACACCAGATGTCCCCCCAAAAAATGTATATACATTTTTAATAATTATTAATTCCAATGGATCAAGTCTGAAAATAAACATTAATCGAGTTATCAGAAAATGTAAGTGTGTGCATTTTCTAGGGACAACCCCTACATGTATGTCTATAATCTAGTGATTAACCTCACGAATAGCAATACTGAGAGCAGAGAACACCTTCCTCTACTTGGCTCACAGAACTCAGCTTACTAATCCTTTACTCCCAAGGCACAAAAACTTCCCTGGGAATATAACTGTTTCATGAGGAAAGAGGGAGGATGCTGACCTTGGGAAGAATCCCAAACAGCTCATTCAGGTTTCCTTACAATAAAGCTCAAAACCATCAATACTATTCATCCACTTATAAGCTTCTAGTGTTTTCTTCCTCCAATCTTAATCATGGACACAACTTTCCAAAGATACGAGGAAAGTCTCTAGCACAAAAGACCAAAACAAAGCAGTTTAAAGGAAAATTAAACCTCTTGGAAATTAAGACTTATTGCAGACATTAAAAACTCAATAGAAGATTGGGAGATAAAACGAGGGAAATTTCCTGGAAAGTAAAGCAAAATGACATTGAAAGGGAGAGAAAAATAAGCCAGTGCCTGTCCAGAAGGCCCTACTCCAAACAATAGGGATTTAAGAGAGAAAATGAGAAAATACAAGGAAGGAAATAAAAACTATTATTTAACATTTCCGGAAGTGAAAGGACACCAGCCCCCTGGTAGAAAGGATGAAAACAGATCTATGCCAGTAAAGATCATTGTCAAATTTTAGGACACTGGAGACTAGAAAGTCTAACCACTTAGAGAAAAAACAAACAAAAAGTAACATACAAAGTGTCATGGATTAGAATTTCAGATTCCAAACAGTAAAAATGGAGATAAATGAGACAAATCCTTTACATTTCTGAAGGAAAATAATCTACAACCCAAAATTTATACCCATCAATCAAATATGCAGATAGAATAAATACATTTCCAGACATTCAAGATTTCAAAGTCTATACCCCGTGTACCCTAACTCAAAAATTGCTGGAAGATATGATCCACAACAAGGTGAGCAAATAGGCAATTCAACACAGGGGAGAGAGAAGGAAACTCCCAGGAAAACATCTAGGCACTTGCACCAAAGGGCTACTAGTTTAGGATGGAGGTGTAAGATTCAAAACACCGACATATTGAAGACTGTCATGACTAAGAGATTGACTGTCTTTGTAACCTGAGAACAGTTAGGCTAGTACCATGGTCGGCAAACTGCGGCTTGTGTGACACATGCGGCTCTTTGGCCCCTCAAGTGTGGCTCTTCCACAAAATATCACAGCCTGGGTGAGTCTATTTTGAAGAAGTGGCGTTAGGAGAAGTTTAAAAAATTTGGCTCTCAAAAGAAATTTCAATCGTTGTACTGTTGATATTTGGCTCTGTTGACTGAGTTTGCCAACCACTGTGATAGTATATCTGGCTCCCACTGTGTTCTACTTGGCTTGTCTGAGTATGTCCCAACGAGATGCCTGCTCTCCCCTTCATATCCTGATGTCTAGATTAGCTGAGGATACTCATTTCACTCCATAACAAGATTCTGCATTGATTTTCTCTTGAGATGTGGGTAGGTGAGCTTAGAAGCAAAAAATATAAAACAAGCACACAACCTTTAAAGATATTTCTATAAGAGATCCAGGATGCTCCAGCGATGGTGACTTAAGTTCCTTGGGACTTACTCATCACCTTGCTCACTAACATCTCCACCTAAGGCTCTTGTAAATTCTAGAAGCTGAAATCAGATTCAGAGATTATTCAGCCCACCTTCTCAAAAATGTCATCAAATAGTGGCAAATACTGTTTTCATAGAGCTAGATTTACACTTCTCAGGTGTTCACATCTAAACAAAATACTGTGTTTAGGGATACCACACAGGTGATGAAGTCTGTATAGTACCTAAGAGGAGAGTGGAATGAAATTGAAGATGGACTTACAGGTGGCCTGTATGTTCTATTTCTTAACCTGAATAGTGAGTATGTGCTTATTAAAAATTCTCCTGTAAGTTTCTCAATTAAAATGTGAGGCCATTAGAATTTTTACCTTCTCTTTGCATTATTAAGTGGAACAAGCAAGCTGAACAGAACATACTATCAGCACACAGGAAGAAGCAACATAAAGGTATTGATAATGTAACAGTAAGACACATACTCTAGAGTTCTGTCCTTCACCTGAGGTGTTTGATGACATCATAATGGAGGTTTGTATACAAGGTACCACAGGTCATATACACAAATGGAATTGCTCTTGGTAGTTTGACTTGTAAGAGTTCTAAAATATCTGACAAAGTGATTTTATACCACTCATGGAGTTTTAAACAAAATAAGTCCTTAAGATAAAGCAGGCAAATTCTTTATGATTTTGCCCCCTACCTGGGACGCTTTAGGCCTTCTTTCTCCTTGCTGGTATTAATCCTGTTTCTCATCGTTCTTTTCTTTTTTTCTTTTTTTTTTTTTTAATATATATATATTTACTGATTTTTTTACAGAGAGGAAGAGAGATAGTTAGAAACATCTATGAGAGAGAATTATCGATCAGCTGCCTCTTGCACACCCCCTACTAGGGATGTGCCGGCAACCAAGGTACATGCCCTTGACCGGAATCGAACCTGGGACCCTTCAGTCCGCAGGCAGACGCTCTATCCACTGAGCCAAACTGGTGTCGGACATTGTTCCTTTTTTAAAGCAACTTTTTCCTAAAAAGTCTTTCCCAACTATCCATTCATTTACATACTACTGAGTGACCCTTTACCCAAATCCAGGCACTGTTCTAGACCTTGGGGATAAAGTGGTAAACAAATCCCCTGCCCTCAGTTTCAATGAGAGTGAAATGTATCTGATGCCAATAGATGCTATGAACATAAAGCAGGGAAGGAGCATAAATACAGGGGAGGACATGGCTGAATGGGTCAGTTGGAGTGTCACCAGTACACCAAAAGGGATGATGCAGGAGGCAACCATCTATGTTCTTTCTCATGTTGGTTTCTCTTTCTCCCCCCTTTCCTCTCTCTCTAAATATCAATAAACATATCCTCGGGTGAGGATTAACAACAACAAAAAAAGGACACAGGAGAAGATGCGTGTGCCATTTTTTAATATATGGTCAGGGAAAAGTTTACGACAAAGTGATAATTGAGCACAGCCCCGAAAAATGTTTATTTGCAATAAGAGCACTTCAGGGAGAATAGCACGTTTCCAGATCTTCATGTCAAGTGGTACTTTATCAAGGATTTGGCACCGCTAGTACTATTTTGCTGCACACACCCTGCCTCCTCAGTCCTTGAAGGCAAATCCCCTTTTATCACTTTGGACTCCCAACGTTTAGCATGGAGTTTATGTTAAGTTCCCAAGCATTGCTTATAGATGACTCACATCATAAATATTCCAAAACGTTGAAATAATTCAAAATATCGTATGTCTTTGTTCCCCAGAATAAAATTAAGATCTTTAAGTTTGGAGGATAATCCACATAAATCAAAATATGTTTCTCCAAGACTTGTGGCTTATAGTCACATTTTCTAAACTGCAAAATATGTGATGTGCTGATTTAAACCCTTTGGGTGAAGTAGAGTGAAACTAGCTCATAAGATGGAATTTGAAAAGCACCAAACCAAAGCAATATCCCACATCTCTAAGAGTCTTGCTGGTTTTGTGAACCTTCAATTGAGACAGCTACCAAAATAAAGGGTCAATTCTTAGGATTTAATACATTCCCAACAATATTAGAAACCATCATCTGACCCTTTATTTCTTCAGGTTGGCATTTAAATACATCCTCTCCAGCATCCTACTTTTGTAATGACAAAACCTTCAGCCAAGGTTTTATATCAATACTGGAGGCCCATACATGAAATTCATACACAGGTAGAGTCCCTAGGTATGGCCAGTGATCAGGGCTGATCAGATTCCCCACCTCCTCCTTTCCTCGCTCCCTCAGTGTCTCACTGTCACTGGTCACTTGCCATGTTCAGCGCTGCCCCTGGTGGTCAGCACACATCATAGCAAGCGACTAAACTGGTCTCCCAGTCGAACTCCTGAGGGGACACTTTGCATATTAGCCATATATATATACTGGTAGAATACCTAATGCTATTGTTTTTCACAACTCTTAAAACTCCTAAGACTTAGATTTAAAATTGGTAACAGAGAGAACAAGATAACACCAAATTTGGGAAAGCCAATAAAATTAATTAGACAAAGACACTTTCTAATGAACTTAGATATCAAATGCAGCTCACCTGCTACAATTGGTTCTGCACTAGCCATTCTGTTCCCAACTCAGGTCAAGTGTTCACAAATTTCTTTTTCAGAACATCCAGGTAACACATTAGTCATGGACACATGAACAAGGGTCACTAACAACTTGTCTATTGCAAGGAAGTCACAGTTTACCAAACAATTAACAATTGTGATGGAGTCATTGCTTTCTCCTTGAAAATGTTTAACCCAATTCATCAAAAAAGCAGGGAGTTTTCAACTATGTATTTTAATCAAGTATTAATGGTTCCAAGCATTAAATAATGTTTTAAAGAAAAACTTTCTGGTTTAAACTATTTCTGATTTTGAGCCAGGCACTCACTGAAGCCAAAGAAGTTTTCTTGATTATTTCTTCCTCTGTTTCCTGTCTTCACTGTTCCTGAATTCCAAAAGTAATTCATCCAGTAATTGATTACCAACCACATTAATACTCAGTTTTACCATCCTTTTGAAATAACTTTTACACCAGCTTCCTACCAGTGGAACCTTCTCAGAAAAATTATTCTCCCCACTCAGCATTTCAAAATTAGTTTAAATGGGCTACTTCTCTACAGACAGCAAATTAAACCACTTAACTTACTGAAAAGGAGTGGAACGGTTTCAAATAGTTGAGGACATCTGAAAAGGCAACTAGGACAACCATGCAAATAAATAAGGAACACACAATTCCATTTAAATTATTAAGACATTTTCTTTAATTTATCTAAACACTTCACATTCATGAAGTCAATTTCAGAGCAAATCTAAGCTCATCATATTAAATTTAAAAATATTACAGTATTTACAAACTTGCTGATATAAATACAAATATTGTGCTGTTTATTTTCAATACCTGCCAATAAAAAAGGCAGATCAGTGTTGTCTCTTTGAAGATCCTCATTTCTCCTTAAACACAATTAAGGAGCCCTAAGGGGAATGGGCCTCACCCAAATGTTCCACCCTCACAGCTTTAGACCCTCAACATTCTTCTTCAGGTTCAGCAGCTCCTTTTCCTGCCTTCTTTTCTCCAGTTTGAAGGCTAATTTGTTAGCTTTCTTCTCTACTCTCCGTTCCTGGACAAGAATACATTCATGTTATTCAAATCTTCAAACTGATTAAGACTAACTTTACAAAAAAAAAAAAAAAAAATTCACATGACCTCCCTGCCCCAGCTCTCTGTAAATTTCACGTCTGAGCAAAGTCCTTTACCTTCCGCTCTTCCTTTACAGCTTGCTTTCTGGCTCTTTTATCTTCTTTGCTTTCATTTTTAGAGCGTGGCTGGGTTGACACCTTGGGCAGATCACTGTCATTAATCATTTGCATTCTTTCAATTTGCTTTGCTGTGAACCCTTTCTGAGGTAAGACATTGAGAGGTATTCCTGTCTTAGAAGATATTCGGATTTGTTTGGGCTGAAATAAAGATAAAATGGCTTAGGGTTATTTCCCAATCCTATTAAAAAAAATAGCTCACTTACAACACACTGCTGTTGCTTTCCTAATGGTGTTGGGAGCCACTAGAGATAAAGCTGATGTGAGAAAATAATTAGTACACTTCCTTTCCTGCATTGCGTATTTCAAACAGCTCAGGACATTAGCACTTACTTTTGGTTCATACTTAATAAGCTGTGGATGGTTGTATAAATTTGAGTATGTACCTAAAAAAAAAAAAAAAAAAAAAAAGTCACATATTAATAAGTAGACTTTTAGTTCACCAAAACATTACTGAATACTTACTATATTCCCAGCTTTAGTGTTTTCATAGTTTAACACTGGAGTCTCTCTTACAAATGTTTTCATATTTTTTATTACAAATATTTATTTCCCCTATTTTATTTTCACAAAATATACACTTTTTCAAAAGGCTGATGTACTTAATACTTAATCATAAAATGGATGCTAAGATACTTACTACAAATGGATTCACAATCCCATTTCTCCTTGACTTCTTCAAGAACAACAGTGACAACTTCCTCCTCTTCAGACCCATCAGGTTCATTCATGGGCAAGTCTTGATCCTCGAAGGGTTCGAGAGTACTCAATTTCACACAACTTGTGGTTATTAGGTTTTCAAAAATGTAGATAGAAAGAGAAAAAAGACCACCACTCATGTTACTATATGTTACTCAACCTGCACGTAAAGAGCTATGGAAACAACAGCAATTTTTAAAAACCCACACACTCAGGTGTCCTGTTTCTCATTTCCTGTCACAATTAGCTTTATCTCTCTGCCTCTCGCTTCCAGCAGGTTCCGGCTGTTCATTCTGCTGACAGGAAGGAAAAACCTATCTGCGTCTTTGCAAGGATATAACACATTACACACAAAAGAGCTTTTTTAAAACACAATCTTTTTTAAAGCCTCAAAAAGCATTAGCCCATCTGTCCCTCCAAAGGATTCAAATAATTCACTCCAAGTATGCAGCTCTTAGCTTGCTGCAGGATAGTGATCACAAATATCAGACCTCACTAGTAGAGGTAAACACCTCATTAGTTTCTCAGAGAAATCATTTATTGTGGGTGCTGATTCACCAAACATTTTGCCAGAAAGTTCTACTAATCTGGCTGGAGAGATACACTCTTGTCTTTCTTTAAGCCATAAATACCTACTCCTCAGATGCCTGGCATTTCAGGAAAATAAAGAATGTATACATGAAGTCAAATAATTCTTTAGCCAAAGAGGCTAGAGGCACCATCTCTTCTCATTCTTAAGTGGAATGTGACCATGTACACTTCCCACTCTCACCCTCAGTTATTGATCACTACTCTCGACAAGTTACAGAGAATGTGGTTCTCAGTATGTTCCCATCCACTGTTATGTTGTTTCAGAACTCTTAATATGAAAATGGGAGCCAAATGTATCATCTTCTTAATTTGGATTCTGACAAGGTGATTTTCAATTCATGCACACGATCACTTTATTTGAAAATGAAAAAAGCAAATAAACAAGGAAAAGTCACCATACTTCTCAGCCTTCTCTTTATAAAAATCATTCAAAACTTCCTCTAAGCGACTGCTGTCTACTTGAATGGAACCTTCCAATTCAGCGTTATCCAGAGCTCCAATTTCATCATCATCATATTGCTCATAAAACTTGAATATAAAGAGAGAAAATATCACGAAAATAAATGTATTCAGTAAGAATACAGCACTTAAAGATTATCCTACATAACATAAGCACCACCATGATCATAACTGCATTAAAAATATTATCGGGACTCAGTACCATAACACGTAAAGAGCTATGGAAACAACAGCAATTTTTAAAAATGGAAGAGGTTCTACCCAACACTTTTAAAACTGTCTGTAGGTTGCCATTTTACATGACAATGAAGACAGTTACTCCATTGAGCTTGGAAAGCAAAATGCTAGGCAGAAATCTTTACTCAGAATATTTTACAGATACCTTTCATTTATTATGCAAAATTCATTTATTATGCAAACTAATGTACATTTCTTTTTTTTTTTAGACGTTTACTGTATTCTTCAATAATGTTCACACTACCAGGCTTTATAAGAATAAGGAGGGTGATGTAACTCCTGAAATGAGGTTATTCATGCTAACAGTTTGCTTATTTGTTTGAGAGAAGAAGGAAACTACTACTTAGTGAAATGCAGCAAAGTTAGAACCTTTGTCATAGGAAGCTATCCATCCATCCATCCGTCCAACCATCCATCCTTTACTGAACAGTTCAAAGTTTAAACTCCTCATGCCATATACCACTTTAGGCCTTGGGATGTATTAATGAACAAAAACATACACATAAAAATGGGGGGAAATGGCATTTCCTTTATGCTTAGTCCAATGCTTAATCTCAGGAACTGTGACTGAAGAGGTTTGGAATCAAAATGTCACCAGTCTAAGAGCAAAATCAGGAGGTTTGATAAGCCATCTTCTGACCTATCTGCATTCCTTCCAGAAGTAAAATTAGGATGGTCTTATGGTCTGTTTCAATAAAAGTTAGTGGTGTTTCTCATACTAAAAGTTCTAGCTTTAGGTTCCAATGTCATATGTAATTTACTAAGAACTAGTATTAAAAGATCCTTAACTGGGACCTTACCTTCTCAAACCTTTCATCATGTAGGGTCAGCTGTTCATTTCTCCTCATAACTGAGGATGTCATAGAATACTCAGTAAAGCGACTTTTCGTTTCCTCTTCCCAGAACAAGTGATTTTCTAGAGCCCCCGGAGTTTTCCCAAGGGTAGACACTTCCTCATCTGAGAATGAGCCTGCAGAGTCATAGTCATTGTCATCACTGCCTTCTTCCTTCTCATTGTCCACATCTGCCCACTCATTGTCATCTTCTGCCTCTGATTTCCTGAAGTCAGAATCATAAATTAACTGTCAAAACAATTTGATAAACAACAGAACCCGATGTATTTACACAGTAAAATCTGAGGGTGTTTCAGGGAGGATTACTGTTTAGGGAAAAGGGCTGTGCTGCTTGACCAGTCCAGCCTGGCACAATTGTAAAAGTAATGAACTAGCAATCAGGCAACGTGGACTTTAGCCCCACCTACTGATGGCTTATATCTTACATTGTCTGCTGAAACAGAATTCTAAGACTTAAGTCCTGATGGTCTCTTTCAGCTGTAGTTCTATGGTTGTTATCCTATTAAAGCATACCAATTGAAACAAACAAAACATACCGAACATCCATTCCCTCTTCCTCTTCTGTTGGCTTATTGGCCTGAAGAATAAAATCATCTTCAAGCAGATTATCTGGATCATCGAAGTCAAAATCATCGTCAAGGGCTGCGACAATGTCAGGATCAAAATCCAGCCGAGGCCCTAGAAGAAAAATAAAAAATAATAACTCCCAAGAAAGCATCATTCCTTCATTTAATTAACATAATCTGAGTACCTATTACATGCCAGAGTATAAAAGGATGATTAAGAATTCTAAGTCAGTTAGTCTAGTGAGGGAAAGAGATGCATGACTGCAAATAAAAAATAAAAATAAAAAGAGGGAGATGAGGGGGAAACCCTTCCATTATAGATCTACAATATCAAACTGCTTAGTAAGCAAAATTCAAAGCTTTGACCCGCAGGAAAAAACTGGACTTTGTCTTTTCACACTGAGATCTTAACCTGTTTCTTCAGGTAGGTAAACCACTACAAAGTTCAAGAAGTTTCAAGTCAAAACCTGTAAACTGACATGGCTTCCAACACCCTCACATCATGGCTCCTGCTTGGTTCTCCAGCCTCAGTTCCTAGTAATCCTGACCCAGGCATGCCAAGTGTGTGGTTTCTTCTATTCACGTTGTTATGCTTTTGTTCAGTTGTCTGTACGGAATACCCTCTCTTTCCCATCCACTCTCCTTCATCTGCTTAACTTAGCCCTAAGAAATCAACTTGGACATGCTTTCCCCTAGGAAAACTCCCCCAGACTTGTTTGTTGCATCATGATCTACCTATTTGTACTGTACTGGTAATTACCTATTTATTGTCTATCTTTCCCAATTTATGGTAAATTCTCTGTGATCTGGGACTATGCTATTCTGGTTTAACTCTGTCAAACAGTGGCAACTCAAAAACCTATAAAATGAATGCTATATGGCAAGTTTACTCAATAAGGGTTGGGAGACTGTGTGAAAAAGTGAGGGGATTAAGAAGTACAAATTGGTAGCTACAGAATAGCCACGGAGTTAAATACAGTGTAGGGAATACAGTAAATAATACTGTAATATTTATGTATGGTATCAGATGGGTACTAGATTTTTCAAGGTGATCACTAAGTTATATAATGCCCAATCACTGAGCTATACACTTGAAACTAGTATCAAAATACATGTCAACTGTACTTGGAAAAAAAAATTAAAGCAAAAAAAAAAATAGTTCTCATCACAAAAATATTTTGTAACTTCGTATGTTAACAATGTAGTCTTTTAAAAAAATATATGTTTTATTGATTTTTTTATAGCGAGGAAGGGAGAGAGATAGAGAGTTAGAAACATCAATCAGCTGCTTCCTGCATACCCCCCACTGGGGAGGTGCCTGCAACCAAGGTACATGCCCTTGACCAGAATCAAACCTGGGACCCTTCCACTGAGCCAAACTGGTTTCGGCAACCATGTAGTCTTATTGTGATAATCATTTCACAATATACATCAAATTATGTTCTATACTTCAAACTAATGTAATATGTCTATTATACCTTCATTTATAATAAAAGCATATTAGGCTACCATATTTTCTGGCATATAAGACGACTTTTGAAACGAAAAAGTCAACCGAAAATCGGGGGCAAAAGACCAAAATTGCACAAAATTTACCTGCAGATCTTGTAGGCAAAGTAAGTCTTTTCTTTGAAGTGGGGGGTAGTCTTATACAGCAAATATAGGCCTAAATCTATGTTTTAACTGTAAAATTAGGGGGTCGTCTTATACGCTGGAAAAATACGGTAATTAGACCGAAGCAGGGGCTGTGAGGGCTGAGACCCTGGCATTAATTTCATGCATTGGGTCTCTAGTCTCTATATATAAAAGCCTAATATGCAAATTGTCCCCACAGGAGTGCACCTGGAGACAGATTGCTCGCTATAACATGTGTTGACCTCTACGGGCACAGAATGAAGGAAGGCCCCGATCAGCCCTGATAGCTGGCCAGGCCTAGGTATCCTATACATGCACAAATTTTGTGCATCAGGCCTCTAGTAAAATATATTAACCATTGGAAAAAAAATTAAAGCAATTTAACTAAAGAAAACAAACACTACTTTTGTTCTAAAATATAATACGTTGGTACTGCAAAAAAAACCCCCAACAAACAATTTTTCAGTGTATGTGAAACAGGTGGATAAATGGGACTTCTATTTAAACCAAAGGCCCAGTGCATAAAATTCGTGCACAGATAAGAGTCCCTATGCCTGCCCAGCGATAAGGGCCAATTGGGCCTTCTGGCTGCTGGTGGGGGCCTCTCTTTCCTGGTTGGTCAGTGCACTTCATAGCGAGTGACCGAATTCACAAAAGGTCAATTTGCATTTTAGGCATATATATATATATATATATATATATATATATAATACTTCCATACTCTCGGGGGAAATGCTTTTTTCTTTTAATCCTCACCTCAGGACATGTTTTTGTTGTTTGTTTGGTTTTAAATTCTCACCCGAGGATATGTTTATTGATTTGAAAGAGAGATAAAGAAAAATAAACATCAAACTGTTGCCTCCCATATGCACCCCAACTGGGATTGAACCAAAACCTAAGTATGTACCCTGACCAGGAATCAAACCCGCAACCTTTTTTGGTCTACGGGACAGCACTCTAAACAAGCCACACCCAGTCAAGGCCTAAGAGAACTTTTAAAAGCTAACATGAAATATTTCCAAAATTACACTGTATGTATGTAAGGCTAATTAGAATATTAGTTTCCTTTGTAAGAGGTTAGGTCAAGGTAGTCCCCCACCTGATCATGAAAAATAATCTTCCTACTTTCCTCTCTAAATAGGAACTTCCAAGACTAAGAATTTTATTTGATTATAATATAAGAAAAGAGGGGATATCCCCAGGTGGGAATGTACAGGAGGTAGCTGACCAATGTTTCGATGTTTCTAACTCTCCATCTCTTTCCCTTCCTCTCTGTAAAAAAAAAAAAAAAAAAAAAAAAAAAAAAAAAAAATCAATAAAATATATTAAAAAAAAGAAAGAAAGAAAGAAAAAAAAAATGCTAATCATACTCATCCCTTCCTAATGATCTCTCATCTGAATTCAGACACATCTCAATTTTTTCAACACTTTATCAGGAACAAAACTCTGAATTATTACTATATGAAGTTTCTTTTTATAAAACACAGCTCCACTGAAAAGGCAAAAAAATTAAACACACCTGAAACAGGCGCTGCTTTATTTAACAATCCAACATCTTCCTCAAACTCTGATGCAAACACTGATGAAGGCAACTTAATTCCAGTGGTCTTGAAAAAAAAAAAGAAATTACACAATGGTTAGGTTTATTCAATAATACTTCTGGAATTAATTTACTGGGTTGAAAAGTGTTCTCCCAAAATTCATGTTCACCTGGAAGCTCAGAATATGACCTTACATAGAAACAGGATCCTTGCAAATGTAATCAGTTAAGAGGAGGTGATAATGGAGCATGGTGGGCCCTACTCCAATGACTGGTATGTCCTTACAAGAAGCCATGTGAACACAGGAAGACACACAGAGGAGAATGCCATGTGAAGATGGAGAATGCTGGAGTGACGCATCAACAAACCAAGGAACACTAAGGATTGCCAGCAACCACTAGAAGTAGTCAAGGAACAGATTCTTTTTGAGCCCCAAGAAGGAAACCCCCAGAAAGCTTTATTTCAGACTTCTGGCCTCTACAATTGTGAGAATAAATTTCTACTGTCTGAAGTCACCTCGTGGTAATCTGTGACAACAGTCCTATAAACTAACACAATCACATTCTGAATTCTCTCCAGTTATACATTTTAAACATGTATATTCCACCATCCAAAGCAACTTCCCTGCAATACTTCACAAAGCTTTCTCAGTATACTATTCCATTTAATCCTCACAACGCCTTGAGGACTGTTTTAGTGAGGTTCTGGGATCCACAATATTACCTCGTGTCCCTTCCTGATTGGAATTTCCCTTCCTCTCTTCAATGGAACACACCCATGGAACACACCAATGGAACACTCAGTTCCTTCTACCTCCATTAAACCCTTCTTGATTACTGTCCTAGAACTTCCGACTGCTGTGGACTCCCCTCTCTTCACACACCATACAATCTACCTCAATGTGTGCTGGCACATATTTTCTGACTAGTCCTTATGCTTTAGTTTCACCTTTTCAATCAAACAGTTAATAATGTGAGGATCACTAGCGCATGTTATCAGTCCTTGTACCTCACCACCCACTCTGTTCTCAGCTGAGCAGCAAGCATGAAGCTGAAATGTACATTCTGACTGGCTCACAGGCAGCATGCTCCACTGAAAGCCTCAGAAGAGCATGAGCAAAGGCCACATATACTAGTGCATACCTAGCAAGCTATTATGGCTTCCAAAGTGAGTTTCTCTATGGCATAAACCTGGGGAAATACCTGGTATTCTGCTATAGAGTTCTTTTTATTTTAGTTTTTCTACTGATTTCAGAGAGAGGAAGAGAAAGAAACATCTATTTGCTGTTTCATGTATTTATGCATTCATTGGTTGCTTCTTGCATGTGCCCTGACTGTGGATCAAACCTGCAACCTTGGTGTATCAGGACGTGCTCTAACCAACTAATCTATCTGTTGAGGGCTAGAGAGTCCTTTTCTTTTTAACAAACAGACTTACTATATATAATCTACATACTACACAAATCAACCACTTAAAATGTATAATGTAATGATTTTTTTGGTATATTACATTATTTTGTAAAATTGTGATAAAATATATATGTGGTAAAAGATCCTTTGTAATTATTAATCCTTGAAATGTAAGGGTTTAGAAGGAAGGATCACCTTGTTTTAGTGAATTTACCTTTGGAGATGCTTCTAAATATTGAGAAACAAAGAGTATACACAATTAGAGTTTAGATAGTGATTAAAAAGTGGAATGGAATTCTTTTTGTTAATTGTAGTAGTTCCTAAATACAAGAGTGGGCAAAAGTAGGTTAAATTACCGACCAACATTACCTAAAAGATAAATCATAAGGATACAAAATGATAAATAACAAATAATACAATAATAAATACTACTACAAAAATATACTCTTTGGAGTACTCAGAATTGTAAACCTATTTTTGCCCACCCTGCTTTCTATCATGGCAGCATCTGCTTTCCTTCAAGTGAAAATCGGGGGCTGCTCAAGAAGTACTAATTTTTGTACTGCCTTTCTGCACTTACTTTGTTTTTTAGGGTTTATTAAAGATTTCTGGTTTATTTAATTTTGGTGGCTTGTTACAAATTACTTTAAGGTTAAAAAAGCTCAATGGGACTCATGTACATTTGTACTGTGCTACAGAAAGCCAATGGCAATTTTATCTTTAAAGACAATGCATCTTTATAAACATCATTGAAGTATCCATTTAAGGGCCTTATTCTGCTAAAAGTGAAATAAGCCAGTCAGAGAAAGACCAATACCATATAATGTCACTTATATGGGGAAGCTAATGAACAAAATAAACTGATGATCAAAACAGAAACTGAGGCATAGGTACCTTGTTTCCCCGAAAATAAGACAGTCTTATATTAATTTTTGCTCACAAAGATGCGCTAGGTCTTATTTTCAGGGGATGTCTTCTTATTTTTTCATGAAGAATACAGTACACATTTATTGTTAAATGAAAATAAAGGAAATTTATTACCTGTATATGGTACAGTAGTACAGTAGTTGTCAACACAAACCAAACTGTGACTCCTACAGTATCAAGAATTTACTCATTTATTTAATGACAATTACGTCATCATCTTCTGGAACATCATAACAATCCAATTCCTGAATTTCCTGGTGAATTTCTTATGACTCCATTTCTTTCAGGATCAGTGGACTAAATTTCTCATGTTTAGCCGGAGGGGGGGGGGGGGGAGGCTTATTTTCAGGGGGATGCCTTATATTTCACTCAGAAGGAAACCTGTAAGTAGGTCTTATTTTCGGGGAAACACAGTACATGTAATAAACAGACTGACAGATTTCAGGGGGAGGGAGAATGAATGAAAGGTGAAGGGATTAGCCAAAAAACATAAGACACAGACAACAGTGTGATATCAGTAAGAGGGAAAGGCAGGCGGTTAACTAGGTGGAGATGGGCAAAGGGGATGGAAAATGGGGATAGAGACTTTGCTTAGGGAGATGGGTGCATGATGCAGAAAAAGGAACTTAAATTGGTAGCACCAATCCTATATAATAAAAGGGCAATATGCAAATTGACACTAATGGCAGAATGACCAGAACGACCTTTCGACCAGTCACTATGAGGTGCACTGAGCACTTCTCGGCCAGCAGGCTCCCATCCCTCGCTAGCAAACAGGGAACCTAGGGTGGATGGCAGGGGATGAAGGTGGCACCAGGCTAAGGCCCGTCTGACCAGTCGCCCCACACACAGAGGGTGACCTGTGACAAGGGTAGGAGTGGCTGACCTCTTAGTCCTCTCTATTTTTCCCTGCGTTGGCCAGCAGGCTTGGATGAATGGGGAACTGGGGGATGGCAGCAGAGTAAGATGGCTCTGATTGCAGGTCTAGTCTAGGGAACCATACCCACGCATGGATTTCGTGTGCCAGGCCTCTAGTTTCATTAAATATTAGTGATCTGGTGCATGAAATTCTTGCACGGGTGGTATGTCCCTCAGCCCAGCTTGCACCCTCTCCAATCTCAGACATCCCTCTCACAACTTGGGACTGCTGGCTCCTAACTGCTCCCCTGCTGTCTTGATTGCCCTTAACTACCTCTGCCTCAGCCCTACACCCAGGACCTGGGCTTCTCTCTCTCTGGCCAGCCACAGGCCCAGGACTTGGGTCAGCTTTGACCAGGACGGCTGCGGCTGCAGGGGACGGTGGGCAGGTGGCTCTGCCCAGGACCACAGGGTAGGCAGCTTCTCAGGCTGGCTGCAGCCTGGGACCAGGGGGCGGGCGGCTTCTCCGACTCCCAGACTGCAGCCAGCCATAGGCGCTGGTGCCCAGGACCACCAGCAGGCAGCTTTGCCCAGGCCTGGCTTTGTCAGGAAGGACATGTGGATGGTTGTCTGGAAATCTGTTCAAATTAGCTATCTTTTATTAGTATACATAGATCATGGTGTGTTTTTTTTCTCGCCATCATTAACCATATTAACTGCTGCTTATGTAAGTTGTATTCCTGCTAAGTCTAGAAGCAGCCTCAGAATCCTTCTCACCATTCACCTTAAGTCTGATGTTTAGTTATCAGAATTAATACCTGAGGTGAAGCCTCTTACTGCAAATGTATCCCAGAATGCATATCATCCTCACTGCTTTTTGATCCAGCTAATAATACATTGCCTCAATCATGCTGATTCAGGTCATTTTCCCCCTTTCAGTTTTTAGTAGATTACCATTTACTGCCTAGGAAGCAAAATGGACTTGTCTCCATGTAGATCACAAAATTAATGTATTTTTCTCATCAATAACATTTCATTCTCTCAGCATGAGCAGAGTAATTTTGTCAACAACGTATTAAGGTATTAAGTTTATAACAAATTGAGTGGATTATTGTTTCAGGTGCTGTGCTGCCATATACAGATTCCTTTCATCTTTGCAACAACTCTATGCAGTAGGTACTATAATTACACAGATGAGCACACTGAGGTACAGAGAGATCAGGTAACCTGACCAGTGAAACCTGAAAGTGGCCGAGTCTCGTTTCAAATCCATGAGCCATGCCCTTTAACCATTATTCTCCACTCAGTATTGTGCGGGAGCCTGCTCTTACTGGCTCACAAATTTTCAGGAATTTTGCAAGCTAGTTGTTAAGCATGGTCATTACCAAAGAACAGGCAACTTACTCTCACCTGATTGTACATGTGTACACACACCACTTTCATTGAGAAAATGGCCTGCCCCATTTCTTGCCCAAAATTATATTGATATAACACTTTTTTTTCTTTCTTTTTCACTCACTCACACACACACACTCTTTCTCACACTTAAATTGTTGAAAAATCTTACTGAAATTATTGAATTTTCTTCGTTTTCATTTCTCCTATTGGGTACACTGACTGTAGTCGTGGGAATCAACTCTGAGGGCCCAGACGGTTCCTTCAGATGCTGCAGGTAGTCATAGTCGTCATCGAAGAACACTCCATACTTCCTCTGTTCTGCTCGTCTCTCTTCATCATTTTTCTAGGATAATAAACAAGATGGAACTACTACCTCTTCCAAAATTAAGGCACAGGAACCTTCCAATGAGCACAGCTTTCAGAACAGGAGGCAGATGGCACATGGACACTTCGGTTGACAGGAATGAGACAATGAATAATGAATTCTTAACAAATTAAGGAAACACAGAGCCTCCAAGGTATTGTGTCATATAAAATTAAAATGGAATGAACCAATTCCTCCTTTCAGTAGATATTTCTGTGCAATAAGCCAAACCAAGAAAAATACACACACATGGCAATTTGTTTTATCATCCAGTAGAAGCCTTGAAAGGATAGGTATAATTTCTTGTATTTATACACAAAGAAACTTTTCAACACACAAAATAAATGGGCTTTACCGTACTTAAAAGCTAAATAGGCCCAATGTTCCCTAACACTTTCTTTCACATTATCCATGCTTAACAAGTCTGGTTGATAATTAGCAAATCAACCCTTTAAAAGCTCCCTGGTGTTTTCTAAAGCTGATTTATGAGTTTCCAAGTTTTGCATTTCATGAGATGAGTGACCAAGAGGCAAAGCGCCGTTCGTGGTTATGAAACGATAGGATTTTAGGGTAAGCAGCAATTGAGCTCTTGATTGTGCCCTAACTCACATCACGCAGTATTATGGCAGACGGCTTCGTAAATATTTATCATTACTCAGGATGTACTCACTGAAACATCCCAAATAAAGGTGGTCCATCTCCTCAATCAAAATGAATATGCACGAAGTGAAAATCCACACATTCACTGAAAATTAAGTCACAGACTTTGCTTTCCCTGAAGATCAGTTATCTGAAAACAGCAGCTGGCTACGATAATTGAAAACCACTGACAGTCCACCTACAAACTCATTGGCTAAAGAGCAGCACCTACTTTCTGTGCAGGCAGCAAGACCCTCTGGGGTGCGGTCTCGTCCGCTGCTAAAGGATCTCGTTGGCTCCGATGGACCAGGTGGAAAGACACAGCTTTCTTCTTTTCTATGAAGGGCTTCTTCTTCCTGTGAGGCTGCGGAGGGCAGAATCAGGACATGCCATTAAAACAGAACCAAAACACCTGTGGCTTGTATCACAGTCCGCGCGCGCGGGCATCTTCGATAAGTTATGTGAAGGATCAACAGGTTTTTTGAAACCTACGCTTCTAGGGCAGGCAACATCAAGTCTGTTCTCTGTAACCTGTACTTACCTTCCTCCCATACACAGTTGTCGGCACCTACTCTGTAGGCAGACCTTGTTATGGGCCCTGGGGATACAGCAGTGAGAAGGTCAGACAAGCTCCTATTCCTCTCAAGCAAATCATCAAGAAAAATGATTTCGGGTAAAGAGAATAAAAAGACAGCGTTGTGCTGAAACCGGTTTGGCTCGGTGGATAGAGCCTCGGTTTGTGGACTGAAGGGTCCCAGGTTCGATTCCCATCAAGGGCATGTGCATTGGTTGCGGGCACATCCCCGGTGGGGGGTGTGCAGGAGGCAGCTGGTCAATGTTTCTCTTCTCTCTCATCGATGTTTTTAGCTCTCTATCCCTCTCTGTAAAAAAAAAAATCAATGAATTAAAAAAAAAAAAAAAAGACAGCGTTGTGCAAAATTACGGACGAGTGACGTTAGTCTGGGTGCCCAGAGAAGGTCCCCGACAGGCTGAACCAGGACAATGAACCTGCCACAAGAAGGCATTTGCGAGTGGGGTGCACACTTCCTGCATCAACTACTATGTGAAAACACGGCACGAAAGCTGAAGTTCAGGGAGATTCATCATTCCGTTCTACAAGTTTATTCCACGACCCAACCTTGATTTTTCTAAGCTAAGAAAGTACCATCCCAGTTGAATAAGCCGCCTTGCTTTGGGACGAACCTTGGGCTCTCCCACAAGTCCCTTCCCCCAGAGCAGTGAGCCACATGCGGCTCTTTGGCCCCTTGAGTGCGGCTCTTGCACAAAATACCATGGCCTGGGCGAGCCTATTTTGAAGAAGTGGTGTTAAAAGTTTAAGTTTAAAACATGTGGCTCTCAAAAGAAATGTCAATCGTGGTCCTGTTGATGTTTGGCTCTATGGACTAATGAGTTTGCCGACCATTGCCCCAAAGCAAACTGATGGGCGGACACCCCCTCCCCGCCTGACCCCGTGCAAGACTGGGTGGTGCATCTGTGCTGTGCGTGTCAAAGGCTTTGGGGGGGCCCTTTGGGGTAAAGGGAAGGCCATTCTCTACTGTCATTCTCCAGTGAGGTGCTCGGCCACGGGAGTCCCACGGTAAACAGCCAAGTGTGCCCCAGGTGGTGGGTGAGGGTGACCCAGGCCCGGCCCAGCAGCGCGAGCCGCCTTCCTGAAGCTTCGGACCAGCCCTTCCAGCCCCAGGCCTCATCCAGCCGCGCTTCCGCAAACCCAGAGCGCCACGCCCCCCAGGCCGCCGAGCTCGCCCACCATGTTGCGGTCGCCAGGGGCTCAGGCCGAAGAGCAGCGACTACACCTCCGGGTCCTGCGGGACGGGGCACGCTGCGTCCGGGACGCCGCACGGGCCGGCTCACCGCGGCGTCTTCAGGCCTCTCACCGCACGTGCAAACCCGGGAGCCGGACAGGAAGTCCCGCACCGGCCGTGGGATCGGACCAATCGCTGGAGAGCTGAAGTCTCGCGGGGCCGGTAATGACGCCGAGCTCACTCCATCCCAAACACCGCGAGAAGCTGTAGGGAGGCGCGCTGTTCCCGCCCCTTGAGGGCGGGGCTATTGCTGCTGAAGTGAGTGCGCGGGAGGGAGGAGTCTGGCGGCGAGGCGGGAAAGGTTTGGGGAGAACTTGTGTTTATAGGAACCCAGCGTCTCCATCGACAGTTGTATTCCCTGCCCATTTCCAACCGAGAAAAGCAAAATAAAACAAAAAACCGTGTACTCCTTTTATCAAATGTGTCATTTTTAATACTCTAATCAATCATGCAATGTTTTTGTGTATTACTTTAAATATCCACGCTCTGGCCTCAGGGTGAAGTCCAAATTCTTTTGCATAGAAGCCATCAATTTAGCATCTTGTCTCCTTATTCCCCCACATACCACTCTATGACCCAGCCCTATCAAACGGTTTGCAGTTCTCCTATGTATCCAAAGAGATGGGCTTTCTCATGCCCATCTAAGGTTCTTCCTCTTCTCCCCATCCTTCAAGTGTTAGTTTGGTTTATTTCTGCCACAGGAAGCGTATACAGGCATACCTTGAAGACATTGCAGGTTTGGTTCCATACCAGTGTAATAAAGCGAATATTGCAATCACATGAGTTGTAATCGTTTTTGTTAGTGGAAGGTCTTGCCTTTGATTTGTGAAAAGCACAACTCCTGTGAGGCCAATAAAGCAGTGTGCAATAAAACGAGGTATACCTGTATTCTTCAAAACTAGAGCCCATCTCAAATGTTCTCACTGTACCCTGTGATTACACTATTCTGCTCAATTACACTAAAATTTAGTGATTAAATGGCAAATCCTTATTATTTTCATCTGTTTTATAACCATTCTATAGTAACCTACTTGAGGACAAGGATTTTTGTCTTGCCAACTTTACTTCCCCAATGCATAGTATAGTAAGGACTCAATAATAATTAGTTCAAAGCACTTTATATACATTTACTCATTAAAATTCTACACAACAATTTAAGGATATATACTATTATTACCCTTTTATTTTATGGATTAGAGATCCAAGGAACAGAAAGTCAATCGATTTTTGAAAGAAAATCGGGACTTTTTTTTAAAACGCCGCAGGATGCGGGACAAATTGTTAAAAATCGGGATTGTCCTGCCAAAAGTGGGACGTCTGGTCACCTTATTTTTGCCCAAGGCAATGAAGCCAAAATGCAAACCCAGGTGTTGCTAGAGAATCACACTCTTAACCATTACAATATACCCTATTTGAAAAAGCCAACACATTAGGGAACTTACAAGTGTCAGAGATTGTTCTGGGTTCTGTATAAATATTAGCTCATTTAATATTTGTTGAATACAATATTTACCACAATGCATTCATTACAATGATTAGGAACAAAACTCATTTTCACACACTGCTATTTCCTGCCATTAAAATGTTATTTCCTACCACTGAAATCACCCAGAACTGAAATATTATAGCGATAATAATAAATCCAAACTATACTTCTATTCTTTTATTATGTCCTAATTAATAGTACTTATTTCAAAATAATTAAGCAGAATTTCTAGCTTAGTTTGGACTTTGAAATGTTCTATTTTTTCACTAGAAATCAGCTTGCCTATTGCTATTGTGTTTATCATCTTAGCCTCGATTACATCACATTTAGCGGGGGCTCTCCATAAGCATTAGCATCACTCACAGATCCCAAGGCATCAGGAAACCAGTGTACCCCAAAGAAGAGCAAGTTTGCTAGACCCTGAAGCAGCAACTTTAGGAATTATAAATTATTTGCTTGACAATATTAACAGAGCTTATGGAGGTACATAATTTATCAAAAGGGGAGGTGCATCAAGATGGATGTAACAGATGGTCACTGTATCACTGTTTGTGATAGAGAAATAAATGGAAGTTCTATTAGTAAGGGATTAATGTAAAGAAAACACATTTATGCTGCGGTCAGTTGTGCAGCTGCTCTAAGGAAGATTGATATGGACAAAAAGCATGTTGGACAAAAAGCAAGTTGCAGAACACCATAGTAGATGGCTTTTTGTTTTGTTTTGGTTAAAAAGTAATAATAGGAAAACATTTTACATAGAAATATCATAGTGCATGCATAGAAAAATGTCTAATTGATTATGTACCAAACTGCCCGCAGCAATTATTCATGAGGAGCTGGGATTGCAGAAAACTTTCCATTTCTAATTGAGATATTTCTTCATTGTTTACATATCTGCAGTGACCATTTGAAGTATTTCATTTGTATAAAAAAGTAAAGATATTTAAATATAAACTAATATAATCTGCTTCAATAAATACTGTTACAGGATATTCTTTAAAATGGTAAGATCCTGAGACACACACACACACACACACACACACACACACACACAAACATTTTTTTAAAAGATTTTATTTAATATATCATTAGGAGGGAACTGGTAAGATGGTTCAATTAGTACAGAAGGCAATCCAAAGATCAGAAACATTTACAGAGCAAGCATATTGAAAAGAATGTGTAAAAGGGGACAAAACTGGCTTCTTTCCTGGTGACCTAGGAAGACAACTGTACCTCCACTGCACAGAATTTATGTACATGTGTAGAGACAAGAATTATTTTCATTGTTGTCAGCTTTCCACAATTACAAAATTAGAAAACAGTTCAGAGGCAAAGAAAGGTGCAAAGTCCACATAAAGTCGGAATTGGGAGTGCTTATTTAAAAAGCACATCATTTTTCACTGAAGCACACATTTCCCCTCATAATACTAATAACAGGAATATGCTTGTTATGGTAACTGGAAGTAGTTTCTGGTGTTTATTCCATTCTCACAGTATTACCTGGGGAAAAGGGACTTCCGTGTGCTTACCTCAATGCAAAATGGGAAAGATAATGTTATTAATACTCAACTTCTAGGATTTGGTTGAGTTCAATGAGAAATGGTGTGTTAGCTACTCAGATCTGTGCCTGGTTGATGGTCAGGGCTTAGTGGAAATGAGTTGTCTCCTCCTAGCCGAGTGTCTGTTCATCTAACTTCATTGTTGCCTCAGGAAGGCCATCTCCTGAAACCCGGGCCTCCTCCAGCATCTGGGATGTGTCAGGAAACACATGCTTTGCCTCAAATCAGGTTTTCATCATGCGAATTTGTAAGCTTGCATCTTGATCCAACTTTAAGCTTTGAAGGATCCCAATCCTCTGGTTTCCTCTCAATTTCTGGTGCCTTTCAGGTCCTTCATATCACATGCTTAGATTATTTCACTTGCTTCTAGCCTCCAGTAACTGTATGTTCTTTAAAACTCTTTTTAATGACACAAACTCAAGATATTGATTGGCTTTCTGTTTACAAACTTTTGTTCTTAGAGTCAAAAGTACATGTTTCAATGGGTAACACTTTTTGGAAATATTAATTCAAATTAATTTTCTCTGCTGTGCCTTTTAAATTATAAAATGAATTTTTAGTATTCTTGATATGTATTGGTTGCATTCATTCTAGCTTTCGGCTTACAAACTTTTTTTTTTTACTTGATATGCAATAGTTAGATCATACATGTATTTAATGATAATATTAACTCTGCTTTCACAAAATGAGAGATTACTATTACCCCATTTCCCCGAAAATAAGACAGTGTCTTATATTAATTTTTTCTCCCAAAGTTGTGCTAGGTCTTATTTTCAGGGGATGTCTTATCTTTCCATGCACTAGGTCTTATTTTCGGAGGATGTCTTATTGTCGGGGAAACACGGGTAGTACTATTGAGGGATTACATTCCTATGGAGTGATTCTGCCTGTCATTCCATTGGACTAAGGGTGATATGAGACATATTCCTACTTTTTTCCATCAACCTCTTCTCTGTGCTTATAGTGTGAGCATCTCACTGTGCTGAGTGCAGTTTTATGCTTAAAGGAAAGGTGTTCTTTTTTTAAAAAAAAACATACACAATATAGCACCTAAATGTAAACTAACTTCTTAATAATATCTGGCTTAAAGAACCAACCAAACATTCCACTGGTGACATTAACAAAGGCTATGTTGGACATATTGTGATAATATGTTTGTATATTATATTTGGGGCAATATAAGCTTTCAAATATAATTTTTCCTTTACAACTTAACCCCTTCCATAAGGTACTATTCTGTTTTTATTTAAAATTATGCAAACCAGGAAAACCCAGTTAAATTAAAAATATGTTTATCTTCTAAAGCACTCAGATGATGTGTAAATGAAAGAATTTTATGATTTGGAGACAAATTTAGGCAACAAAAATACAGTTCATTCAATTTTCATTGTAGCAATTTCTTCACAGTCTTAAGCTACATTGTTCAGGGGTTTGTCCATGGCCACAGCTTCCGTTGCAGAGCTGATGATTCTCAACTTCCTCTCCGTAGCCAAGACGTTTTCTTGGACTCATATCCAACAGACTATTCACTTATGGATGTCCTAACAGGCAGGCAATTCAAACACATTGAGTTTCACATATAAAGTTGAATATCTGACCTCTTCACACCTCCTACCCTCTTTCCCCCTCCTCCTGAACCCCCACTTCCATATTGCAGCAACCTTACCTCTGCTGTTTTTTATTTCAACAAGTGGCATCACTACTCTCCACCTAGGCATGAGACGTGGGTATAGTCTTTATTCATTTCCCGTGTGCAACTATCACTTCAACTGTCATTAACTCATTATGTCTCTTCATTCCAATAGTTAATACCTTGATCAAGGCCAACATCACTTCCCAGCAAAATTATAGCAACAGTAATGGTGTCCACTGGTGTCAGATGGGTACTTGACTTATCAGTAGG